GCTCATTAGCTGTCGCTGATCGACGAGCAAGGCTTTCTACCGACGACCATCAATCGTTGTTTCGACACGGTCTGCAGTTCGTTATTCAATTACACCGGAAGCCATTAGAAACGTAGAAGAAACAATCTTATCCGATTTCCTCATCAGCCTCATGTAGCGATGAAACCGAGAATAATCACTGGTTTTATCTGATGCCAAAGATGGGACATTGCACATCACTTAAGAATCATTCGGTGAATCAACATCGCCGAGGCAAGCAACGTCTGTCTCTCTGCCATTAACACGTCAATCTAAGTTACAATGACAAAAGCACAACAGAGAGAAGATGAGAAAATGAACCATTACCACATTATGATATAATTTCTCTCATTAGTAAGTCGATACCCAGTCTTCCCGGCAAACAGATCTAAATCCGTTACATAAGCCAAGTCGTGATCTTCGATGAAGCCACCCTGACCAGCAGAAATCAGCGTGATTTCGATGGTGGCACAAGAAACAGTTCGTTCAGACAAAATTAAATTCCTATTGACTAAATCAGCTATTCATAATTTAATCTAAGCAGCCCTGTCACGAGGCATCGGTTTAAAAGTTCAGAATCGCCCTTGAGAACAACCGAGATGACATAAAAATGAATTTCATTCAATTCAGCAAACCGGATTCCTTATACTTTCTGAAGTTGCTTTCACCAGAAGGACATTCTTGACTTCAAACCTGAGCAGAAGAAATAATCGTGAAACAACATGGTCAAATTTTGTCACTATGCCGTTTGCCCTCTGAACCGAATATGTGGTCTTGTGTTTGTCATCAATCATCCTTAACATCCATGCAAATCTGCAGGCTCATTAAAACTAATCATATCTGCTCATCTCAAAATATATTTTCATAATAAGGGCTGTTAAGTGCATCGGCCAAGGAAAGATTCACATCAATAGCAGATTTCCGTTTAGTGCCCTCTGCCATTTGATGTGATGGACAACGACCTTTCGTCGTACGAGTGTGGGTCCTATGTCAGCCATTGACGAGCTTCATCGCTTCAGTGCAAATGGTCGAACCACACCAGCCAACCGTCTGCCTTCCAGCACCCTCAATACGCTCTTCTTTTCGCGAAACTAATGGCGTTTTACTGAACCTCCGTTTCTACACTATCAATCAAGGGTTACTCATGTTTGTATTTGCAGAATCTACGACTATGCGGCAAACATAGCATGTAGTTTCCAGTTCCCCTCCGACAGAGTGATATTCATTTATCTACC